TGCAGTGAGGGGCGGGGGCGGGGGCCAGCAGCCGTGGTGCAGCCGGGGGCTGGGGCGCAGGACGCAGGTACGTGGAGCGCTCGGGCCCGGGGGTGGCTCCCAGACAACTGTCCCTGTGTGTCCCTGTGCCACCGGCAGGGGCCAGGAGGTGCAGGGCTGGCCCTCGGGGTGGGTCAGGGCTGCTGCCTCATCCTGACTCCATCTGGACATGGCTCAAAAGCAACAGCTCAAATCGTTCCCAAGGTGAGCTGTGGCACAGAGAGCTGCTGGAAGCTGGAGCTGTGTCAGGGCTCCCTTAGGTTTCCCTTTGAAACATTGAGCTAAACGTTGCTGAGTTTCACCTGCAGAATGGAATTGCCAAGGGCAGGTGTGGCACTGCCTGGTTTGAAGGCTGCAGCATCAGACTTCCCTCTAACAATACATAAAGATGTAGCTGATGATTCTGTCCCACAGTGTCACTTAAAATTCTGTGTTTATAAATGCCCAGAGAAGTGTTTTTATTTATGTTTTAACAATGCTGGTCTGGAAATCAAGGTAGTCAGGCTCCACCTTGCCACACCTCTGCACCTGGAGCCAGCTCTGCCCCCTGGGGACCACTGGCTCCTTGTGAGCTGTGCCCCTCTGACCACCCAGCAAATCCAAACTGGGGCAGCTGAGCTGAGGCTGGAATTCCACCTGAGGGGTCACTGCCCGGGCAGCTGAGAGGCCTCATCCAACCTGAACAGATCCATGAGAAAATGGGATTTGGTGTGTTTGGGGAGGGGTAGTTTGAGGTAAGCAAAACACTTAAACTTGAATGGTTTTTGGAAGTAAGTTTGGAGGGACTGTGACTGTATTTGGAAAATGCAGAGAGATGAATAACTCAGGGCAAAGATCTGCAGAGGAGGTGAGCGTGTGCTCGCAGAAACAGTGTCTTTAGGCACTCAGACTTCTGAAAAATATATTGAAAACCGATTATTTAGCCTTCCTGTGATTTCCTCTCCTTGGGGAGAGTGCTGTCACCGTGTGGCTGTTCTGAGGAGCGCCGGTGCTCCCGTGTGCTCACCCCCTCCCTCTCCCCTCCCAGGCGAGCGGCGGGAGCAGCTCTGGGCTGTCATGGAGCACATCTGCAGGCTGGTGGACGGCATCCCCCTGCAGCAGCTGCAGGGGCTGTCCTGCGCCAGGGACCTCCTCCAGCAGCGGGAGCTCAGGTGGGTCCCGGCAGCAGCTCCCCGAGCTGTGCCCGGCTGCCTGCAGGGGGCCCCACCGCCCCGGGGGAGCTCTGACAAAGGCGAGCAGGGGTCCCCACCGCACCGGGGGAGCTCTGACAAAGCTGAAAAGTGCTGACACACTGAGGGGAATAAAAAACAGTGTGAACTGCCCAAAGTGTAGACAGTGCCAGTGCTCTGCCCCACAGAAGGGTCCTGCTCCACCCTCAGTCTGAGCACAGGTAGTCTTGCATCTCTTCTCCAGAATGTGACAAGGGGGGGATGGTTTGAAACTCAAAGAGGGAGACTAGAGAGAAGGAAGAAATTGTTGGCACTGAGGGTGTTGATCCCCTGTCCCAGGCTGCCCAGAGAGGTGGTCGCTGCCCCATCCCTGGAACCATCCCAGGTGAGGTTGGCTGGGGCTCTGAGCACCCTGCTCTAGCTGCAGATGTCCCTGCAGGGGTATGGCACTGGGTGACCTTTAAAGGCTCTACCTTGCCTGGGTCAGTTCTTTGCTATTAGCAATTCTTTTATTTTCTGTCTGCAGAAGAGGTGTAGTAATTTTGTCAGTACTTAGTTCAGCAGTGTTCTGGTATTATTCTCTCTTCTCTGGATTTGTTTGCAGTATTTTTAAAATGCAGGGTTACAGTGCTCTGTGACCACCACACGTCAACGTTTTCAACAGCAGAGACACAACTGTCTAATGCACATTGTAGAAATCAGAGCTCGTGACTGTTCTTTTCCTTCTTCCTTTCCTTGCCGCCTCTCCCAGGAGAAAACTGCTCACAAGTTCCATCCCTTGGAAGGAAGGCAGCTCAAACACTTCCCCCAGGCCCCAGGAAGCACGTCTGGAGTGGGGCTCTCCTGGGGCTGCTCTGTGTCCTGGCCCCAGCTGGAGCTCCAGTTCTGCCAGGAACTCGCCCAGATCCACCAGCCTCCCAGCTCCGCCTTCTGCCCCAGTTAATGCCAGCAATTTTTCCACCAAAAAAAGTCAAACCGTGGATACCTCTTATGCCTCAAAGCAAAGTACTGAGGAGAGCTCCTGCCCAGGAGCTATGACACCGTGGTCTG